AATTAATGCATACTTGCAGCGTGTAAGTATGTACATCTCTCAATATCTTGGTACCTAAAAATAAACACATAATTATTCTAGTGTAAGTATGTTTCTATATTTTTACAATAAAAAAATAAAACAAGTTATAAAAAATATATATTAAGTTATTTGTGTACATATTTTATTAATATATATATACTAAAAATAATATAAATTTATATTTTCTATGAATTTTTATGTAAATTATTTGATTTTAATATTGAAAATTCAAATTGTTAAAATAGAAAATACATCTCAAGGATAATTTGATAAAAGATACATTTTTTAAATGTTATATTTCTTCAATCAAACATTGTAATCTTATATTCATGTCAAACAAATCAAACAAGATAATACAATATTCCTAACAATATGTTAAATAATGTAGCATTATGATAATTTTATTTCCAAATATAATTTTGCATCCCGTGAACTACACTATCCCTAAAGAAGCTATTTGGGAACATGAGGAAACTATGACAAGTCCATATCCACGTCTTTTCTTATCAAATTAAATTCTTTTAATAGGAGAGGAATTATCACACCCCCAATTATGGGTTAGAAAATAAAATTTAAGTGTAAAGGGTTTAATTATAAAGAATCAAAGTTAGAGGACTAAATTGTAAATATTTAGAAATTAGGAGACTTAATTGAATGAAAATTTGTAGTTTAAAGGATTGAATTGATCAAATTTTGGTGACAAAATCAATAAAATCAGGGACCAAAATGAATTTGGATTTAAAATTGAGTTTATTTTGAAGATCTAAAAGAATTTAAAGATCGTGAGTTATTTGAAATCAATTCGATGATGAGTATGATAAAATTCAAAACTGCGTCTTCTATCTAGAATTGTAAGACGAGACAGATCGTGATTTATGAAATCAATTCGATCAAAACTTAGTTAATTTTCAAATTGAATAAACTCGACTCGAATTCTTAAATAGTTAAAATAAACTACTTGATATTTAACTCAAAAAAACTCGAGAGCAACTCAAAAAATTAATATATTAAAATTTTAAAAAATTTATTTTTTTTAAAATACAATATAATGTTTCATGTATTTAAGATTCAATTCCAGTTCGAATTTGAGCTTCAATTGAGATAAGTCTAAGAAGTTCAAGTTTTTCAAACTCGAGTTTTATTTCAAATTTTGATTTTGAGTGTAGTTTAAAAGTTGTAAACTCATGAACTTTAAAATAAATTTGAATTTTAAATTTTTTATTTTTTATTTTGAATTTTGAATTTTAATTAAAATTGATAATTTTAAACTTATGAATTTTTAAATTAAACTCAATAATAATCAAGATGACTCGTTTATAGTCCTACCTGTGTCGCTTTAGTTCTTTATGCTAGTTGTACCTGGGCACCGATTCAAATAGGGAACGGATTTTTTTTTACCTCTTTCCATTTTGAAATAAAAACCCTAGGGCTCAATTTTTTCCCAATTTGCGCCATTCTCTCTTCTCTCTATTCCATCGGGCGAAATTCGGCCGCCGCCGCCGTTCTACCTACTCCGATCGACGAGCTTTTTACTTCAAAAGACTAACTTTGAATCTATCTCCTCGGATGTGCTCTCCAAGCGACGAGATCAAGTCGCCCTCGCCGTCAATCACGCTGGCTACCTTTTGATGTCAACTTCTTGCTTCCTTTTGTTTTTGAATAGTTTGAATCTTATAAAGCAGGCATATATATATTTTGGTATCCATAAACAAACCTTTATTTTGTTGGTGGTATTTTGGGCCTTTATTATGCTTCTTATGTGTTAATAAATGAAAATTAACCTGGATTTGGTGCAGGTTGTTTGTTATTACCATTTATCTCAAAATGTCAACAAAATTGACAAGGAAAATATTTGTGATTCCTTATTTCATTAGTTACAGGTCTACTGGATTCCTTGTTGGCTTGAAATCAAATCATGATACCGAGTTTTTCCTTAGCAAAATTTTTGGTGGGTTTGAAGGATCTGGCTTTATATGCAGACCTCGATTCTTTTGCTCTGCTACACGCGTGGAAAGGTTAAGTTGGGAAGGTTCTTCTCATGCAGTTTTGTTAACAAAGCTTGAAAATGCTTTGACGGATCTCAAACTGGATGAAGCATGGGAAACTTTCAATGATTTTAAAAGGTCGTACGGTTTTCCTAGCCATTTGCTTGTTAGTAGGTTCATCACTCAACTATCCTACTCGTCCAGCTCTCATTGGCTAATGAGAGCTTGTGATTTGGGTATGATGGTCCTGAAAGAGAAATCGAATCATCTTCGACCTGACATGTTGATTAAGCTAGTTCTTTCTTTAGCAAGAGCATAGCTGCCCGTTCCTCTGTCCATGATTCTTAGACTGATTCTGGAAAAAGGGATAATACCTCCGATGAACGTATTGCATTTGCTATTTCTGCATATGGTGAAGACTGAGGTTGGAGCATGTATAGCATCCAATCTGTTGGTCCAGATTTGTGACTATCATACAAGGTTTTGTTCAGGGAAAAGTCATTGTGCAAATTTGCTGAAACCTGGTACAACGATCTTTAATCTCGTGCTTGATTCTTGTGTTAGATTTGCAGCATCGTTGAGAGGTCAACAAATTATAGAATTGATGTCCCAAACTGGGGTTGTTGCTGATGCACACTCAATCATTACCATTGCTCAAATCCATGAAATGAATGGCCAAAGGGATGAGTTGAAGAAATTTAAAGATCATGCAACTTTACCTGTGGCTTTTGTTTCTCTCTATAGGCTGTTCTTTGAATGCTTGTTAAACTTGCATTTTAAGTTTCATGACATCGATTCTGCTGCTGAGCTTCTGTTGGGAATGAATAGATTTTTGGAATCCCATCCCATGAAAGATTCTGGGAAGGATTACCAGAAGCCTTGTTTTGTTCCAATTGGATCTCAGAATCTCAGGAATGGACTAATGATACAAATTATGCCCGAGCTGATGCAAAAGGATTCTGCCCTGAAAGCTGAAGGTAAATCAGATCTTGTTTTTTGTAGGGATAAGAAACTTCTTCCTTCTAATAGGGCTCTGTCCAAGCTCATTAATGGCTATAAAAGGCATGGAAAGATCAATGAGCTGTCAAAGTTTTTACTTGGCTTAAAAGAGGAGTTAGATTCATCGGGCCAGTCAGGCTTGTTATCTGAGGTGATAGATGCATGCATTTCATTAGGCTGGATGGAGATTGCTCATGACATTTTGGATGACATGGAATCTTCTGGGAATCCCTTAGGTTCTAGTGCATATGAGGCACTCCTGACGGCTTATAATGAAAGAAATATGTGTGGGGAGGGGAATGTACTGCTAAAACAAATAAGGAAGGCTGGTTTTGTCATGAATGTGGTCAACAATAGTGTTATATCAAAAAATGTGGCAGCAAGTGTAGGTAGAAGTTCTCTTTGCATAAAGGAAGCATATTATTCGCTTTGTCAACCAACTCTATCTGAATGTCTTGTTCACGAAGTAAGTGACTCGGAGAAAGCAATATCTCCTATAACTTTTGAATTGAACTCTTCTATTTACTTCTTTTCCAAGGCTAAAATGATGGGGGATGCTCTGAATATATAAATAAGAATGCAAAAGATGAAAATCCAACCCACTGAACATACTTTCATGCATCTGGTATGTGGTTATTCTTCTCTAGAAATGTACCGTGATATTACCATTTTATGGGGTGACATGAAGAGGATCATGGAGAGTAGGAACTTAACCATGAGTTGTGATTTGTATGAGTTTTTGCTACTCAACTTTCTTCGAGGTGGATACTTTGAAAGAGTGATGGAGGTCATTGGTTATATGAACAAGTGTAACATGTATATTGACAAATGGGTGTACAAGAATGAATATAAAAAAGTCCATAAGAATCTTTATAGGAACTTAAAAGCATCAAAAGCTAGAATTGAGGCTCAAGGTAAGAGGCTTGAGCATGATCAGGCATTTAAGAAATGGGCTGGCATTAACTGAACGTGTTCAAGCATGTTGGGTGGTTTTGTATTGATGCATCCTTTTAGTGTTAATATTCAATCTTTGACTTCCTGTGAAAGCCGAAATTGAATGTGCTTTCTCAACAGGTATGGATAAAGAGCTTTAGTTGCTTGTTAAGATTCATTACTATTTGTTCTAAATTATGTGAATAAAATAATCTCTGTTTTATTTTTTGATTTAATGTCCATTGTATTGATTTAAATTGCTTTTTAACCTTCCACTTGAAATATCTCAATTATGAGACACCGAATGCTGGAAGTTTTTGAACTTTAAAATACGGAAATACCTTATGCTTTTATAATATATGTAATGTGGTACCGTTTTACTCGTTTTAATTTCTCCTTAAATTTGATATTTGGTGTTATCTTACTATGGTTATGTTTGAGATTTTTATTGCTTTACACCTTGGATCTATTCCCAATTGGTGTGAATGCCTAACATGGTATCAATGCCAAATTTATTGCTCTATTTGTTGTTTGTAACGATTTTTGTCGGCCAATCTCCTCCACAGCTCCACTTGCTATATGTTGGGTATACATATATAGTTCTATGTATCAGATAATTTCCCTTCATATTTTTTCTTCATGGTATTAACATGAAGTTTGAAAGCACTAGTTGTTTTATAGTTGAATATTTGCAATATGTGGTTTTGAGCTTGCAAGGTACAATTGCAGTCTTCGTTTAATTGTAAGTGCATATCGTTAGTGAACTATCATTTTTCTTCCTTTATTTTTCAAGAACTTGCAAGTTAAAGAAAAATTGAATCAAAGGTTTTGAGCTTTGAGCCAGCCAATGAAACCATGGATATTAGTATTAACAACAAACGCCATTTAAGACCACCAGCCAATGAACCATTTACACCATCCAAATAACAATCTAAGGTGGTAAATCATCGCCGTTGTAGAGGTCAATGATAGATCTAATTATAGTTTTAATTCCTACGAAATTTAGAGGCTTACTCACCAAATGAAACATGTGAAAAAAAGGGGGACGAGAGCTCAGCAGAAGAAGGAAACAAAAGAGTAAGATGTAACACTAGAAATAGTAGAGAATGACAATACGATTGATGAGAAACAAGCAGATGAAAAGCATCCCTTCAAATTTTCTATCAGGGATTCAATTCGGATATAAAAGGGAAGAACCAAAGCTGGGATGAACATACTCCAATTAATTCAGACTTAACAGTGAACCAGACCAACACCTCAATATCCTTCCAACATCGAAACAAAAGCTTCGCGCCTTAACACTTCAAGCTAGTAACGACCAATTCCCCAAACTCTGATTACACCATCAGTGTAGCCACTAAACAAGGTGCTTCCATCCGCACTCCAGTTCAAGCTAGTGCAGTATATCACCTGCAATATTCACCACATTAACACTTCATTTGTTTCTTTACAACACAACGAGATTATTTCCATCGTTATCCTAACTGAAAATGCCAATTAACCAACCATTAAACAAATTCTGCACAACTGAACCCAGAATTATACAAATCATTTTTTTCAAAGTTGTACATCACAACCTGAGGCCAAAGCAGAGATCCTAAGTACAAATTCTACCATGCCAAGCTTCGAGCATTATTATAGCATAGCATGTTTTGAAACACTAGACTTCGTATGAATAATTTATGATTTTAACAAGTAGATGTTGATATATGTATCAATGACAGATTCACAATTCACAAACAAGATTAAGCCAACTAGTTATGTACTTGAGAAATAAAAACAATATGGTACCAGGTAACTAAACTGCTTGTCACAAATTCATGGCAGAATGGTATTGACCAAGCACCCAAACCATCATATAATTAAAAGGCAAATCAGATTCTCTATTTTTTTTTATTTACAGTAAATCTAGCTGCATCTAAAATTTCCCACAAAAAATATGGCTTTCCAATTGCTAAACAATTATATTAATCCCAAAAAAACGATATGGGGAAATTAGCTGAAAATAGAGGAGGAAGGATAAGAAAGCTTTATTACCTTCTTCTTGTTTCCGGTGTCAGAGACGTCAGACTTCTCAGCCTCAGTCTTAAGATCAACCTTCAAGTCCTCCACAATGCTTTTGCTCTCCAAATCCCAGATCTTGATACTCTGCTCGGTGGCAGCGCAGAGCCAATACCTATTAGGACTAAAGCAAAGCGAGTGAATGATCGAACCCGCTTCAAGACTGTAAAGCTTCTTCCCTTCAGCCAAATCCCACAATAGAATCACTCCATCTTTTCCTCCACTGGCACATAAAGACCCATCAGGAGAAACCGCCACCGTATTCACATAACCGGAGTGACCGGCCAATGTGTTACGAAGCTTACAGTTAGTCAAGTTCCAAACTTTAACCGTTTTGTCCCACGAAGCTGAAACAATGGTGGGTTGGAGAGTACTTGGGCTGAAACGAACGCAGCTTACCCAATCGGTATGAGCGTCGCCTTCTTGAATTGTGTATTTGCACTCTCCAAGCGTATTCCAAAGCTTGATAGTACGATCGCGAGAAGCCGAAACAATCTGACGATTGTCAATGGAAAATGCAACAGAAAGAACATCTTTGGTGTGGCCGACGAAGCGACGAGTGGAGGTTCCGGCAGTTAAGTCCCAGAGACGAAGCTCACCATCCCAGGAACCGGAGAGAGCGAATTGAGAATCGGAAGAGAGTACAACGTCTTGTACGAAGTGAGAGTGACCAGTGAGACGACGACGGGCGACGCCGTAGTTCTTTTCGTCCTTTGTTATGTGCCAAAGGATGATGGATTTGTCGCGTGAGGAGGTGACGATCATGTCGGAGTTATCGATGGGAGTGGCAATGGCGGTCACCATGTCCGTATGGGCGCGCATGGTGCCACGGAGAACTAATCCTTCACCGGCCATTTTCCAAGGCGTTTGGGAGGCGATGGCGGCTATTAGGGTTTTCAAAATGAGAGACTAGAGAGTTCTAAAGGATAAAGGGGTATGACAAGTATATATAGTTATGGTATGTAGGGAATTAGGTAGCGTTTGGTTAGTTGGAATATTTAGAGGGAATTGGAATCTGTGAACGAATTAGAATCTGTTAGGAATTGAAATTCAATTACATATTTTGTTTGGTTGAATGGAAATTGAATTGGAATTCAATTCTATATTCTGTTTGATTCGCAGACATGTCAGATGAATTTGATTTCAGTAATATAAAATGACATGATTGTCCTTCTTATTTTTTTTTTGCTTAATTTTAGTTTGTTTTATAAATTACATGTAGCAATATATTATAAAAATTTTAAAAAAAATTAATTTTTTGATTGATTATTCAATTTAATAAATTATAAAAATCATGCTAATAAACATCATAAGTTAAAATCATCTCAATTAGGGATGATCATAGGTCGAGTTTTTTGTCCACTCGACTTGACCCTAGAACAAGGGAACCTCCATCCAAGACCCGATCCGAATATATGAATTAGAAACTCGACCCGAAATAATAAAAAATTATTTTTATTCAATAAAAACTGTGACTTAATTGGAACAAATATAGAGAGAGGTATTATTGTAATTATTCCTAAAAATATAAGGTAATATATATATATTTTTGGGTCGAGTATTTTTCACTCTAAATCCGAACTCAACCTAAATATCACACTTAAAAAAATTGACCCGACCCGACCAAAATAAAGTTTCACCCGACCTGAATATCACACTTAAAAAAACCGACCTGATCCGACCAAAATAAAGTTTCACCCGATCCGACCCGACCCGAATATATGAATTAAAAACTCGACCCGACCTGAAATAATAAAAAAATATTTTTATTCAATATATGAATAAGTTATCAAAAGATTGATGAGGGTATTATGGTTAAATTTCAATTCCCTCCAATAAGAGAATTGAATTCCATCATAAAATTGATGAAATTCAATTTTCCTCATTTGATGGAAAGTTGAAGCCATGAGGGATTCTAATCCCCTTGGAAAACTTGAACTAAACATGGGAAAGTGGTGGAATTGGATTCCAATTTTCCCTAATTCCAAGGGATTCATGCGAACCAAACGACACCTTAGGGTTTACGTAAACTACAGGATGATTATTTTCAATCCATTAGATTTTAGTCACCGAATAAAAATTAAATTTTTATCTTTTATGTTTCATTCAATTTTAATTTTCCGACCATTAGCTTTCATCAACTCATCTACAATTATTACATGTACTAAATCATCGTTTTTAGAGAAAGGAAGGAGATGGATCTCAATAAATATAAATTCTTGACTTAAAAAGAAACATTATAAAATAAATATGAACAATTTAACTAACTAATCAAATGTGATTGCTGTATAATCTTATTAGTTAAGCTGATTTGGTCAGTCTATTAATTTTGATATATATTTTTTGATAATGATTTCGGATGGGAAAATTTCTATTCTCCTCTGATGTTAAGGGGAAAATTACAATGTGAATCCGTTCTTATTGTTTGTTACTTATTAAGTACGATGTGAAGCAGATCTTCTCGGGATTTCTTTTCTCTCACTGTAGAACCCCTAAAAGAAGGAAAAGAAGCGGGAAAAAAATTACGGAAACCGTAAGAACTGGAAAATCTTGCCTCTTTTTTGACCGCTTTACTTTGTTTTCTGCTGCTGTTTATTTCCATTTGTTTTCTCCGTAGTGATCTCGAGGTGAGTTTGTAGTTTTGTCCATCATCAATGGAGATTAATGTAGGCTTAGCTTAGTTTCCGAGACAACTCTATCATTTTTATATTCCAATATTTCAAAATTCTTTTTTTTTAAATATCATCGTTTTGTTTTTATTTTTTGATGTTTGGATTTATAAATTTCATGTCCTTCTGTTGATCAGTTGATAAAAGAGAAGATTTTTTTAAGGAATAATCATCAGGCCATGGCAGTAGTTGAGAAAGCTTCTAATCAAGATGCGGCTGCAACAGCAGTGGCATCAAACGATCAGGATCAGTCAAAGCAAAACCATGTTCGGTCAATAATTGATCCGAGCTTACATCAGAACGATCACGGGATATACAACAAGATCGGTGGTTCCCATCATCGATCCAACGGTGGGGATTTAAAGAGGAGCAATAGTGGTGCTGGGGATGAAGCTGCGGATAGCTTCAAGAGAGAGATGAGAGAGTTGCAATAGCTTTTCTCAAAGCTTAATCCCATGGCTGAAGAGTTCGTTCCTCATTCAGTTGCAAATCATGGACTCAATGGAGGGTTTTTCACTAACAACAATTACATCTCAAGGAACGGCCAGGCAAATGACAATGGTGCTGGTAGGCGGGTATGCCATCGACAACCCATTTATTGATTGGTTGCTTTTTTACTGTTAAATTACGAACATTAGTCATCTTGGAGAGACAAAAAATAGTAGATAACAAAGTGAATAAAGTCGGTTTGTTTGGGGTTAAAAAGAATTTTTTTTAGATATGATGTACTTTTAGCTTCTGTTTTCTATCGACTCGTTGAAGCTTGAGTGTGTCTGCATAAGAAATTTTGGCGTGCTTCTCTGGTTTAGTGGAGGTTTCTGTTCATGTACATTTTAAGCTGTATGAAATTTCGAAGTTCATTTTTCAAATATTAGCAAATTCCTATCAAACATCATCTCAATTATAGAAGAGAGCATCATCTAATCTCATGGATTTGTTCATTGATTTTGTTTTTTTTTCTCAGAAGAAAATTTTCAATCAAGGTAAAAGGAGATTGAACAACAGGACAAGTATGGCCCAGAGAGATGAGATCATCCGTAGAACTGTTTATGTGTCTGATATTGACCATCAGGTATGTGTAGTCAGCATTCTGATCTTGTTAGGATGCTGCAATTAGTTCTACAATCTCTGCTCTTTGTTATTTGGATTCATGCAGTCTTTTGCTTATTGGGATGTAGGTCACTGAAGAGCATCTTGCGGGTTTATTTGTGAGTTATGGGCAGGTGATATGGTGTTCTTTGCTTGTCTTAACAGTTTTTATCAAGGCGATGTATCTCAATGAATATTGTTTCTTATGAAGGTGGTTTACTGCCGCATTTGTGGTGATCCAAATTCTGTACTTCGTTTTGCCTTTATTGAGTTCAATGATGAAGGTGATGTTCAGATAGTTATTTGATGCACAATTTAGGGGATTGAAAATATAAATGTAAAGCTTGATACTTATGTGCTTTACTGCATGGTGGTTCGGCTGTTCAGAAGGTGCACGAGCTGCTCTGAATCTGGCAGGTACCATACTTGGATTCTACCCAGTTAGGGTGCTACCTTCAAAAACAGCTATAGCACCTGTCAACCCAACATTTTTGCCAAGGGTAAGGCTCATAGCTGCAATTTATTGTACTGGAACTTGTTGATAACTTGAGTCTTTGATCCATAATTCATTCTGCTCACCTATTCAGTTTTTTTTTAATATTTGTAATTTGTTTTTTCGATTCCTAAATGAAGATGAACGCAAATGTGTGCGAGAACTATCTACTGTACAAACATCGACAAGAAGGTGAGGAGCTCTTTCTATTTTGGAATGCTGACTATGAATAATAATCCTGATCATCAATAAAGGGTCCCTTTACAATTATTGTGTGATTTTACTCTGTGCAGATTACTCAAGCTGATGTTAAACTCTTTTTTGAAACAGTTTGTGGGGAGGTTTGTTATTCCATGAAACACATTGTTCTGTTTCTTCTATTTATTACATCAAAACCTATGTGGGGACGCATTTAAATGAATATCTTGTCAAATGTAGGTTTACCGCCTGAGGTTGCTGGGGGACTATCAGCATTCAACTCACATTGCTTTTGTTGAGTTTGTAATGGTAATTGTTTCTTCGCCTTCATTCATGCAATTTTTTTGAACATGCCTGAACAAGTTTTCTCTGGTTTCTGAAAGTTTGATGAGATAAATGAGGGCTTTGTAGGTCTTTACATGACCTTACTTTTAGCTCTTCAAGATTTAGGCTAGACAGTGAGGATGAAGTTTGTGTTAGCTCTAAATATTGGGGTTTCTGATCCTTTCCAACCTAAAATTTAATCTGTTAGCATGTTGCCAAGAGCCTTATCCCAAATGTTTTTGTGAAATATAAACCCAAATGTTTTTGTGAAATATAATGAGCAATTCACCAACCATTATAGGATTAGTAAGCTACTATTCTCAAGTAGGAAATTAGAACTGCTATATTTTACTACTGGGCAGGGTGTCTGGGAGTACCTGACTTTCTAATTTGCTAAGAGAACATTGTTAGCACGAAGCATTACTGATCTAATCAATCAAAAGTTTTTGGCAGATGTGAATCTTCCTTTTGCTAGTTGATATTCGGTTTGCATTTAAAACCACGTAACCTTTAATATTAGGATTTAGTTGTACTCTAGTGCGGTAGGCATTTGCATAGCAATTGCAGTTTTGCTTGTTAAACTGTAAAATCTTTTGTTGTATCATAGCTATTTGCGAATTACTGTAACTTGTATGTTAAGCAAAGGAATGCTTTTTGATCAGCAAAGGGTATCTGTTTGTCACTACAAAAGGAATTATCAAGTGGTTTGGATTGGGATGCCAAGTGATATTGTGAATTTTATCTTGGTTGTCTGCCCTTTCTTGTTCAGTGAACCCTACGTTGGCTTATTGGAGATGTTTTCCAAGTTTTTGAAATGAGGTTATAGTTGGCGAATAATATGTAGCTCCTTTTAAATCATTTCGAGATTGGTTTGCTTCACTGTTCATGAACAAAATGAATATGTAATCTTCTCTTATTATTTGCAGGCTGAAAGTGCAATTGCTGCTCTCAATTGTAGCGGTGTGGTTCTGGGATCATTGCCTATAAGTTGAGATTCCTGATTTTTCCATCATTTCTCAAAATGATGTTTCCTTCTTCTTTTCTTTCATGGCCGTAATTGCCTCCCAAGATCGATTAAGTAACTATTTTGATTGTGTTCTAAGTCAATCTCTGTTCTTGTGTATGATCAGGGTAAGCCCATCAAAGACCCCAGTTCGGCCACATGCTCCCCGCCTTCCCATGCACTGAATCGTCTTGGACTGGACTGATTTTAATACCAGGTTAAATATATATTTTTAGAATCCATACACACACACACATGTAAAGAGGTTTCCCATGTGAATGGGTCTGCCAGTTTATATATGATATAGATTGTCCTATACTACGCTTGGGATCATTTTAAATCCTAGAGTCATCTTTTGTTTATCCTTCCAACTTACGGCATATAGAGTTGGATGGAACTTTGAGGCTTTGAAATGATATTTATGCATTATTACTCACTAATTTGGACTTATATCCAAGTTCTGAAAAAAAACTTGTGGAATCCGGATTCAGTCAAGATGGTCTAACTCGAATTCGGAATTATTAGTCATCAGAGTGACTCTAATCGAACTTATGTACTCTAAATTTAGTTGAGATGGTCTAACCCAAATTTGAAATCATTTAGTTATCAGAGCGACTGTCATTGAAACTTATGTTAACTTGTTAATGATTAAAATCAAAGTGGAAACATTCAAATACATGAAACATGCTAAAGAACTCATTCATGCTTATCCTTAAACTTACACATTTCTCAAACAATTAACGAGTAAAAACGTGCTTAAATTAGTCTATGAAGAAAATTAGCAGATATATATCGATACTGAATTCCTTGATATCGATAATTAACTCAAAATCTCAAAACAAATCCAAAATTTTAGTAGTTGAAAAGAATCTTGATATTCATTATTAAGTATTGCTATTGATTACCAATAATCAGTTGATTCTAGTGGATGAGACACTAGATTCCTTAAGTAAAGTCTCGGGTTTTGAATCTTAGCATTTATGAATAAAATAAATTGAGTTAGGAGTGTCATCCCCATAATAGATTTCTGCAAAACCCAAAATGACAACAAAGCTTTGAGAATCCTCTGCGGGGAAGGCATACGTGCCAAGGAGATTATTTCGCCCGATTTAATCGAGTTTTCTCAACGAAGCATAGAGAATACTCCACAGTGAAGGCATACATGCTCGAAGGTTACTCTGATTTAATAGAGATTTCCCAACAAAGCGTTGAGAATCCTCCGTGTGATATACAGGGGTGGATTTCTGCTTAAATTCTTCCTTTGCTGCTTCTTATCGTTTTATTTGGAAAGTCATAGTAAGGTGGCGGTTAGTTGGGTCTTGAATCCAGTTAATTGTCCGGTTTGCTTTAGATCTTTAGTGGATGAATTAGCGAGAACTGTTGATTCACGTAATGTTAGACCAACTCCAACGCATCGCTGGAGTGGTGCAATCTCCACTTTAGAGATGAATTTCAACTCCAGTCCATCGTCACTTTAATGTTGGATTGGCGTTGCACTGTACCTACGCGACATATTATATATATATATATATTGTTATTTTTCTGATTTTTGGATTTTGTTGTTTTTTTACTTTCTTTTGTTATTTTCTTTTTCTTTTCCTTTTCTTTGTTACATTATTTTCTCTTATTCTATCTTTTATGTTTTTTTAATGTAATTTCTACACAATAAAATAAAAAATTAAATATAATATAATAAATTCAAGTAGATTAAATTACAAGATAGTTAAAAAATACATTGAAATTAGACAAATCAAAGATGCAAATGCTCATTTTGCTCTATGAAATGCACTAATTGAGCATTTGTGGAATGAATATTCTAATTCAGAGAATTATAATATATAATTATGTAACTTATGTTTTTTTGCATTATTATTATGAATTGTAATTTTCTTATTTATTTTTATTTTCGCAATGTTATTTATGAATGTTTTATTTATATTTTTTAACTTGATATTTATTAGAAATGTATATGTTTTATTTTATATTTGAAAAATCAATATTATAATAGTTAAATATTGTGAATAAAGTAAAGTTGGTGGTAATGTAGAAATAGTGCTGAAGATGAATTATTGTTTCATCTTTAGAGTAGAAATAGAGATGTTGTAGAGTAGAGATGAGGGATGGCCTAAGCTTTGCCATATCCCTAGAGTTAACAATATGCTGACAGATTCTTTAGCGAAACAAGGCATTGGGTGAGGAGATGTGTTCGTTTAAGGGGCAGCTGGTGTTGCATTAGAATCTATTTTGCTTTGTTTTTCAATGTTGTACAGGGGCTGTGTGCCTCATATCCTTTAGTGGTTGATCTGATGTACTGTTCTAAGGTTTATTAATAAAGGTTTTGGCACTCTTTTTCTCTGCTATTAGGGTCTCCCCATATTTGAAGGGGTGTTAAAGAGGTCGCTTTCTTATCATATATATATATATATATATATACACAGGGGTGGACACAAGTCGCCCAATCTCCAAACTATATGCTTAATTTCTGCAAAAATGAAGATAATACTACGACCAACTATCAAGGCTGTGGACTTAGACAAATTTATAAAGGAACGTCAAGGTCATCCGTAACATGATTAGCGTGGAGATATCTTTGTTCCATCAACAATTTGAGCACTTCAAGGATGTCAATTTCCTCTCTTATGCAACCATAACATCGAGATGCCTCTGTTCACTCTCTGTAGTATTTCTCCAAAAGCTTTGAGATCTCTTCAGCATATCCTACAATATACCTACAAGGGCATTAAATTATCTCCACATTGACCGAGAGCATTGAGCCGCCTCTGCTGCACTCTAGCTAAAGGGGATTTTTTTTCTATATATCTCTCATAACCGACTAAACAGAATCAAGATGCCTCTGCTAAGGTTATGTGAACTTATTCATTACCGAGCATCGTGGTGTTGCTGTTTTCTACATTAGCTCTTCAACTATGTCGACATCCCCTACTTAACCCGAAGATACCTCCGTTTTAGCGCCCTCATTATCTCATCAGATCATCGAGAATCCTTCACTATATATGTAAACATACGAGCACCACATTGATTCCCAATAAATGACTCCTTTAATACGATAAATGTCTTCTTCTACAAGTCTTAGGTCAAGTCACTTTATGATATTCCTTTGATCAAGGGGGACAAGTGTTATACCTTATTCGGATCTCCCTAGAATTCCACTCTCGCCGTCATTCCTCCGCTTATCGAGCCTTGGATATCCTTTGGAGCTCCTTGAAGTCTCCAAAATTCCACATCCTCTAAACAATTAACAGACTCTTGATGTCACATCTAGCAAGTTCACATGATCTGTCAGAGTCAAATATGTTATCTGACAGAAATATCTATTATGAGTATTAGTATATGGATAGCCATCTTAGACCTGACATCAACGTTAAAGGTTAATATATAAATGACCAATCAAGGCTGATTAAGGGACCTCTCTCTCTCTCTTCCTACCCTCTCCCCCTGTCTCCCTCATGATCTCGATGTCTCGAGCCTTCTTTTATCCTTTTCAAATCTTTTAAAACATACGGCGTTGATCCTCAATAATTTCACCATGAACCACCAACTATAACTCTCTATCTAAAAAAAAACCGCCTATAGTTACTACAATCCGTTTCTTCTCCTCAACAACGACAAATTATTTTAAAACTCATATACGAATTAATTTTTTTACATCAATATTTTTATACCAAACATTTGCTATTTTCTTCTAGGCTGTTTAAAGTTTATCATGTCATAAAGAACCCTATAGATTGGAGTGATTCTGTCTCTTTCATATATAACTTTAATTTCCAAAGCTGTGAAGGCTTTTTTTTCCCCTTTCATTTTGAGAATTCCTAAGCTGTGAAGTTGATTGACGAAATTTTTGTAAAGAGAAAGTGATAAAGAAGTTTGGTCATCGACTGTGGCTTTTCTGCTTTACCGTAAATGGTTCCATTCATATGTAAGATCTCTATCCATGTTGATATTTAAAGAAGAAATTAAAAATTTATGTTAAATAAATTAGGGAAATTAATAAATTATAAAAAAAATTATACAATATAAACATCCATCATTTTTCTAATAAAAGTTACATAAGAAGCTATTGTATTTAAGTGACCCAAAGGGACGACGAGTTACCCCTGTAAATCTCTAGGATTCTCCGTATATATGGGCTCCAAGGGCTTTCTACGGTTTACCCATATTATTTTAGTGTTTAATTTTTTTAATAGTATAGAGTGATCAAGCTTGTTCATGTATAAGTATGATCTATAATACGTTAAAGGTTCTTAAAATTTAAGGACCTCACAAATGATTATTATTCAAGTTCGTTCATGAATAATTTTTGTGCCCTTACAATATTTTTGTTTGAAAAGAAAACAAGTTTTTTATTTAGTTCTTGAGAAAATAACAAAGAAAATTATAGAAGAAAAATTGACAACATCTTTAATAGTTTTTCATGATAAATTTTAGTAAAATTATTTTGTAGATTTATCTTAATTTAAATTTGATAAATTAATTTTTATTATAAAATAGTTTAGATATAAAAAACCTTTGTGTATGAATAGTTGGATAACTAATTTAACAATGAGCATATCTGGCGTGGATTAGTAATGATAATGGTCACATTTCTTTCCTTTTCTTTATCCTTTAGTTTTGGGATTTGTATTATGAGCGGTTGGATTTGAGGAAGCTTTAAAGAAGAACCCCACCGACGATATATTATTTTCTTCTTTCCCTCCCTTTAATACACTCCTCCATTCACGATTTCATGGACGACGATTCATAAAAACATGGGCAACTGCTTGTTCGGAGGCTTGGGAGAAGCTGATGGAGTGATCAAAGTCATAACTTCAAACGGCGGCGTTATGGAGTTTTCACCTCCGATAATAGCCGGAACCATCACAGATGAGTTCCCCGGCCACGCCATTTTCCGAACCCAAGATCTCTTCTGGAAACCACTTTTTCACCACGAAGAACTCCTCCCCGGCGAATCCTACTACTTACTTCCGCTCAACACCAAACAGGGTTCGGGTAACAGTGGTCAGATTGTGCGAGAAGGCCATGTGAGGTCGAACAGTATCCCGGCAGCATCGGCTGTTGCTCCGTACAGGATGTCGTGCGATTATCAGGGGACTTTGAAGAGGTCTCATACTGATGTTTTGTCTAGGCACAACAACAACAACAGCAACAGTGGTTTTTGGAAAGTGAAGCTAGTGATCACACCAGAGCAGCTGTTGGAGATTTTGTCACAAGAAGCTCGTACTCAAGAATTGATCGAGAGTGTTAGAACTGTGGCCAAGTGTGGGAATAGGATCGAGGGATCTGTTGGATTTTCGGATCAATGGAGTCTGTCCAGCAGTAGGAATGCTTCTTCAAACAAAGATGGCTTCTTGTTAGACATCTAGAACCATAAGCTCTTGTTGTTTCCCCCCCCCCTCTCTCTCTTTTTTTTAACATTAAACCCTGTAAACCATGAAATAGTAGTACGAGGATTTGAGCTTGTAATTTCGTAAATTTTTTTATCCTTTTCCTTTGTTAAATGTTCAGTTTTCTCAGTTTATCGGCAGTATGACAGTAAACGAGGCTCGAGTTCAAGTATAGTAGAATTCTATTTTAAAGTTTAAATCCGAGTATAATTCAATTCGAAAAATTAAAAATTTAAAAGTATCAAGTTTGATTTAAATTTTTAAAAAATTAAACTTAAAATATTATCATATTTAATTCGATTGAAGTTTAAACTCGAATTAAAATATGAATTTAGAATATATGAAAACTTATTTTAAGAATTGATTAGAGTGTTGACTGAAGTTTAATGGAATAAAATTAGAATAACTTACGATCCTAATTGACAAGATACAGAGGCATTTGGTTTTGATTTGGATTGTATAAGGTGTAATTGGATTAGAAGTATTTGAGTTTGAGGTTTGAGTAAAATGTGAATTTGACTGAAGTCCATATTTCTTTTCATTTATTTATGGGCTTTGAGGTTTAGGGTTTAGCCCATAAAAAGAACCCAAATTTCCTGGAAGGATTCTTTCAGTTCTCCCCCCAAGAATTTGAAAATCTTCTCTTTCAGTGTCTTCTTCCCCTACCTTTGTTTATTTCACTTAAACAGTTCTTCAAATTCCCATTCTAAAAAACAAACATCTTTAGTTTCTGTGGGAAATGGGTTGTGTTTCCTCGAATTTGCTGAACCAGGAGGACGAGTTCACTCAACTCGGCAGCACAGCACTGGGTCAGCACATTGTATCCCTTACTTCCACAACGTATGGGTTACTCAACCTGGATCCGCCGCCTCAATCCACTACTACGCCGCCCACCCCACCGCCTCCTTTCACCCTCGGATCCAACTTCAGTGAGTCCAAGTCACTTTGGTCAGAACCTAGACCCGTCCCTTCCCGACCCGAGATCCGTAACTCCCGGGAACTCATATCCAGCCTCGATGCAGATAGCTTCCGCCTCTCCCCGTTTCTCAACAGGGAAAATTTTAACCCTAATTTTAGCAAAAGAGAAAGTCTTTCGAAACCGCCGGTTTCACGGGCTTCGCTAATGGATAAATTCCAGGCCGACACCTTCAGTTTCCCAAACACCCCATTTTCCCCAAAAGAAAACGCTGATCCTAATTTAAGCAAAAGCACCACCTTCTCCCGTTCTTCCCTGCAAAAGAAATTCGAATCCGGAAATGACAGCGCCTTGGAACCGTTACTCATTGACAAGTTCGAGCAAATGTGCCCGCCTAACGGGGGAAACAGAGTTGTGATTTATACGACGACGTTGAGGGGAATCCGTAAAACATACGAAGACTGTAATGCGGTTAGATCAGCAATTCAAAGTTTCGGGATTGTGATTTGCGAACGGGACATTTCTATGGACCAAGGGTTCAGAGAAGAGTTCAGGGAATTAATGAAAGGAAAAGAGAAAGAGTTGACGAGCAAAATGACGCCGCCCCGAGTTTTTATTAAAGGGTTTTACATTGGGGGAGCAGAGGAAGTTATGAGGATCATTGATGAAGGTTGGTTTGGTGAATTGCTTGAAGGCTTGCCGAAGAAAAGAGCAGGGGAGGTTTGCCATGGCTGTGGAGATGTGAGATTTTTGCCGTGTTTTCGGTGCAATGGCAGCTGCAAGATGGCCGTGGAGGGGCAGAGGACGGTGGTGGTCAGGTGTACTGAGTGTAACGAGAATGGTCTCGTGCATTGCCCCGTTTGTAGCTGATAAACTGTGGGGTGATCACTTCTGGTATATTTAATAATTATCAATGTTGAAGAGCTTGATTTCATGCTTTAAATGGTTTACCTTATTTGCTGCTATTTCCTTTGATAAAATCTTTGTTTTGCTTTATATGCAGTAGTTTTTGCAATGCCAATTTTAGTAACTATGCTGTGTTCATTATACTTTGGAAGAAGTTCACATCAAGAGTCTGTTGAAGATATTTAACAGGATTAATGACTTCAAATGTTGTTGATATCGCAATTCCGCACTTGAAGCTAACATTAGGGTTGAATCTCAAGCTCTTAAGTTCTTTTTAAGACTCGAGTTGTTTTACAGATTAGCTGAATGGAGCTTCTGCTGAGTTCTTAGGCATCTAGCTTCTGGCAGTGTAGGAGCTTCACAAAACAGGCTGTTATGTTATTGTGTCAATAACGTGATTGAGCTTCGATTGTACATATCATTGACTAGGTTGTTCTGTTACTGGCCTTACATAAAGGCAAGTAATGGAGGACAATTGCAAATGTCTGGTATTTGGAAGGCTAGTGGATAGCATGTTATTGATCGGTAATCTATCTACTTGGCTGGAATTTGTCACTTTATCGATCTTTGAAAGCTTAGCATGCTGTTCACACCAAGAGTCTGTTGAAGATATTTAACAGGATTATATGTCATATTGCCATGGGAAATATTCTAATACTATTGTGGATTAATAACTTAAAATCATGTTGATATCGCAATTCCGCGCTTGAAGCTAACGTTATGGTTGAATCTCAAGCTCTTAATTTCTTTTTAGGACTAGAGTTATTTTACAGATTAGCTGAATGGAGCTTGTGCTGAGGATTTTTTAGTTATCTAGCTTCTGGCAGTGTAGAAGCTTCACGAAATAGGCTGTTATGTTATTGTGTCGATAACGTGATGAGCTTTGATTCTACATTCATGAACTAGGTTGTTCTGCTACTGACCTTACATAAAGGTGAGTAATGGAGGACAATCGTAAATATCTGGTATTTGGAAGGCTAGTAGGTAGCATGTTCTCAATCGGTAATCTATCGACTTTGCCGGAGTTTGTCACTTTATCGTACTGTGAAAGCTTAGCATATAGTTGTGGGTTCCTGGAAACAAATTTACTAGGTAGAAAAGATGCCGCTAGTTGTTACAGAATAGCTACTAATAAGCATACTGTCTGGTTTAGATTAAAAAAATATGGTTAATGCAAGTGCCATAAGATTTAGATAAAAAAAATATATAATTTTACACGTACTAGAAACTCATAATAGATGGAGAAAGAAAGTAGAATGTAAAGAAGTGGCTTTTTTAACTTATAATCACATCAGATTAAAGAAACTAATACCATAAGTTGATGAAAATGAAGCGATGGATTATGTCTGGTGCTGCTCGGTTGTTGGTATCGATGATGGCATGGGGTACGGATGCATAGTTATGCGTAGTCGATGGTAAAAAATGATCTAGTGGGAAAAGGTTGATCGATCTTAGACCCAGATTTGGTTCGACCCGATTTGGGAGTTGAGTCTGGGTTTGATTAAATATTCTAAGCCTTGCACCCGAAAAAAAAATGATGCTTACAACTGTCCTCCTTTATCCATTGTTGAGAAACAAGAATTGAACAAAAATAAAAAAGCAACTCCGAACATAAATTCTAAAAATTTGAGGTGATGATCTAGATCTACACCTTCGCGAGGATGTTAGATTGTATCAATGATTTGCTCAATCATTTCTGAGACTGAGGACGTTAAATGTAACACCACAAACTTGATTCATTACATGATGGATTTAGTGTGTCGTGTTAGGCCATTGAGATGACTAATAATTTTAAAAATCTTCTCATTTATGATATTCAATCATATAATAAATATGATGTAATAAAATAACGACATTCATACTAGTGATAAAATATTTATACATAATCGAAGTTCCGTAATAATTTAATATAAGAACAAATAAATCGAAATACCAATAGAGGTACAGACTAAAATACAAATAAACATCTTATAAATACACATACTCTCTAAAGTAATCAAATATAATACTCTAAAGTGAAAATATTAGAAGTCATGTTGCGACGGTGCTCCTTGAACTAACTCAATAAATTAATCTGCAGACAAAAACATTTGAACATTGAATTTAAAAACTTAATGATACACTTTTACTCTGCTATATTTCGTGAAATCCACTAAAATAAGCATGCAGAATATAATAAGTCTAGGCGTAGAACATTGTTAAATAAGGTAAAATGCAAATTAACAATTATCCACAATCTACACCATAGGATCACATTTGACAGTGGGGCCTTTAGCTCTAGGTTTTATTCTCACAATTACAATAATATTAACCGATACCCGAGTTCACTTAGCCTTAGGTAATATTCTATTCATTTATTAAACATATATACATAAACAATACTAGCACTTGGTGTCATGTAAGCAATTATGTATCTATAATAGAAGAGGGAATCTAGTCTTATTTATGCATCGGTAATAATCTTCACTAACGTAACTTAAGATGTGGTTGACTGATTTCAATAAAGCAATTATACTTAGATAATAAGAATGCATCAGTAACAATTCCCACCAATAATATATATTAAATTGTTGTCTGATCTTATTGAAGCAGCCAAATTAAACAATGACACATATTCAAATAATCGATCATCATACGCGATTACCATATACATAAATGCTCATGGGCCATACATGTGAACATTTTTTATATGACAAGAATTGTATAGAAGCTCCTTGAATTAGCATGTGTTATTTACAAAGAATGATGGCAGTAGGTACATGCTTAACAATTAAACATGTCAACGTGGAAGCAAAATCATAAAATTGTGACAAACAAAAGGTGGGGACAAAAGAAAAGAATCTTGTAGAAAAAGCACATGGGAAATGACTTATGATAAAACAAGGAACACGTGGCGGGAGCAAATACAAGTGCTTATCAATTAATATAAGATTGCAGCAAAGATGTCTACCACGACAAACAAATTCAAGACTGCAAGAAAGAAGCAATGGCGGCTAGAAGAACGTAGAGCATAAAAATAGGCGGTTTATTACTCCTATAAATATATGTGTTGATAGCTTTAGTTTATATGAACACAAGTGAGAAAAACGAAGGCTTGGAAAAGCCAAAATGAATAATAGCTTAACAAAGCTATTAGAGAGAGGGTAAAGCTTAGCAAAGCTTAGAATAGCGATGTTGTGTTTGTAAACAAGTCGCAGTTAGTATTGTAGTATTGCATTATTGTAATATTGGGGTAACGTCGTTGTAACGTTTTTTTTGTTTCGTATCAATAAAAGTTCGAGAGTGTTATAAATTATCGAGAGCCTATCTACGCTTCCAACAAGTGGTATCAGAGCTTGATTCGAGTTTAACGTGGTGGAGAAGATGACCAACATGATTCAACCTCAAATCCTGAGATTAACAAAGACGAATTATGGCAATTGAAGCATTCAAATAAAGGCATTACTAGACTCCCATGATTGTTGGGATACCATCGAGGATGGTTACACCGAGCCTGAAAATGCAGCAGCAGAAGCAACCCTGGCCAATGAAGAAAAGAAGGTATTGAAGGAATTCTGGAAAAAAGATAAAAGAGCGTTGTTCTTTATTTTTCAAGGAGTAGACGAATCTACCTTTGAAAAAAATTCTAATGCGAAAACCGCAAAACAAGCGTGGGAGATTTTGCAAAAATCTCTACAAGGTGCCGAAAAAGTAAAGAAAAATATATAGCCGCAGCAGCGTGCGCTTGCCAAGAAATGAAGAATCGATTGGAGATGATAAGCAAAGAAAAGCTTGGAATGGAAAATCAAGTTTGAGGGGGAGTATTGGAAGTCAAACTTAACTTTGCAATAATATGTCGGCAAGAATTGTATATAAGCTACTTGAATTAACATGTGCTATTTACAAAGAATGGTGGCAGTAGTTACATGTTTAACAATTAAGCATGTCAACGTGGAAGCAAAATCATAAAAAGGTGACAAACAAAAGGTGGGGACAAAAGAAAAGATTCTTGTAGAAAAAACACATGGGAAATGGCTTATGGTAGAACAAGGACCACGTGGCTGGAGCAAATACAAGTGCTTATCAATTAAGATAAGATTGCAGTAAATAGGGCTGTAAATGAGACGAGACAGATCGCGAGCTACTCGAGAATGACTCAATCAAGGCTCGATAAATACTCGGATCGAATGGACTCGACTCGAGCTCAAGCTCGACTCGAGTTCTTAATGAGCCGAAACGAGCTACTCGATATTCGACTCGAAAAGCTCGTGAGCAGCTCGAAAAAATATTATATTATAATTTTAGATTTTTTAAAATTACATTATTAAAAATATATTAAAAATACATTATTGATAATTATAAAATTTTAAAAATATATTAAAAATTCTATAAAATTTTAAAAATATAATAAAATAAAAATATGATTCAATTTAAATATTAATAATTTAAAAATATATATCAAAATAGAGTGTAACCGATTTTATAAAGAATTAAGAAAGAAAAAACTCATTTAGACTTACATTAATATCTTAATTAACAAAATTAATGGCATCAAATCATATTTGAGAGAAAATGATCACCCCTAGTCCCTACTACTAACATGTACCATATAAAGTAAAACAAGACAAATCGATTATAGAAAAAAGATTATTAAAATTAAAAAAAAAACAATTTAACAAAACCCTTATTAAAAATATATTTCTAATGATAATATTTTTAATAACTAATTATTTAAATTGTTGTATTATTTTGAGGTTTTGGGTTCAAATATCATAAATATCAAGGGTTTGAGCATTTAATATCAAAATATTATATTGTACTTATCTCATAAATCGGTACCAAGTCGATTAAATTGCAATGAGCCCTAAACCCTAAACTATAAACCTAAACCTTAAACCATAAATACTAAACCCTAAACCCTAAACTCTTAATCCGATTATGTGATAGGTGTTAAGTTATGCACATGAAGGTAGCATACAAATTATGCAAAATGATGTTATGTGACTCATAAATATATCATTCATATACTTATACATAAACATATCAACATGCAAAATAAATATACACAACTTGCTGATTGAGACATGATTTTTATCATATTTTAATGATGATTATCGACACTGTCATTGCTTTCAAGCACTGACTCACCAACATGATGACATGAACTCATGAAGAAAAAGATCAAACTCTTTTAACTTGAGGCTATCTAAAGAAGAAGCTTGGATCTAGATTTTTTTTTGTTCTTTGTTCATTTAGCAACAGAGAAGATTGATCCTTGATTTTTTTTTCTGAGGCATAACCTGAAAAAGGAAGAAGAAAAACATATTTTCATGTACAGCCTGGGGTGTTTGTGTTTATTTCCTTATGGAATCTGTACAAAAGGAAAACATATGAAGTTCATAACAATGTTTTCCTCTCTTTTTTTCATGTAAATTGTGAATCAAATCCCCCTTTTCCTGTAATTATACGAGCAACTCAACAGTCAAAATATTACCGGAAACAAGTGTATTGAAAGATTGTCTAACCGTTTAATTAAACAATCACTAACATAACCAATCTACATTCAAAATTATTTGTTCGATGTTCATCGGTACAACATAGAAACGAGTTCAGAAAAATTATCGACTAAATAATGGTTGCGCGAACTCAAACGTTCTCCTTTGAGCTAGAGTCCTCAAGATCTGGTTTCTTCTCTTCAACAATGGCTGTGGAATTCTCCACGGATTGCTCTGTTCTTTCTAGATTGCAAAATAGTTGCAAAAGAAATAAAATCTTAAGGGATTGCAAAAGAACATAGTTCATTATAAGAATAGGAAGTTCACTAACAGGAACCATCAAGTAATAACCCGTCCCTAGAAAACTACATGATGTCAGTTTGAAATAACGTAGTGATTTTACCTTAAACACGAAACTCCTAAGAAAACAGAGTTGTCTTACACTTGGATTTCCTACTGTCTTTTTTTTACAGGACACAAGAAAGAAGGTACATAATTTTTCTGTTTTAGTTCCATTGGTATTATACATTGCTTTAGTAGAACAAATGTATTTTAGTGTTATTGTTTATTTCATTCTCGCTATGTGATTAATCTGTGTTTGAAATAAAGACTTCACCAACAACAAGCAATCTGACAGTGCTACGAACTTCTGCTAGCAACTTGAACACTTCCGGTAGAACTAGCAACCCTACTTATTCAGATAAAGTTCCACAAAGACAATGAGTGTACCATGAATGGTAGTCAAAAGGGTATAATATTGAAGTTACTCAAACTCAATAATCATTATTATTGATCTACAGATGAAATTTCAGTAATGATTCCAAGGAAACCAAGCTTGTAGAGCTACCTTCAGTTATGATTCAAAGAAATGCCAAATATCGCTCAAATGCAAAACATGGGACGTTTAAGAAACAATCAAATTAAATTTATCATTTCCTAGCTCAATCATCTCTCAAATTTGAATCTCAATCAATACACCATAAAAAGCCATCTGAATGTTCTAATTGCTCACCTAGTTAAACAACAGTAAAGAATTTCCTCACTTTTCATTTCCCCCCTAAAGGTTCCTCAGTGAAAACACCAAAGCTTCCATTTTTAGAACAACCCAATAGCAAAGGAACCATTTTTGAACAGAGGAAGAAAAGGATTCAAATTCTTGTTCATTTTACATATTGAGCAAAAACCCAGGTGAGGAAATCGACAAACCTGCTGAAAACTCTTGACAGTTTTCCCAATAGTCTTGCCAACTTCAGGCAACTTTTTAGGTCCAAACACAAGAGCAGCCACTCCAGCAATAACGACAAGTTCTGGCAACCCAAGACCAAACAAAGCATTGCAAGTAAGGCCCTTTCTAGCAGGCTCGGCTGTTGTCCTCCGTCATTGTAACACCCATAACCCGTATAATTATATCTATACAGATTACGATGTCTCTCGTATTTCAAAAAACTATTTTTCAATTCAAAAACAATTTAAAATTTATTAAAATAAAATGGTAATTGATATTATAAAAATATCATATCATAAAAATTAAGTTTCATTCTAACCAATTTAATTCAAAAGTTTTTTTTTCTTAAATAGTGAACAATAGGGATGAACATTCTGAAAAATTTTGCTTAAAATTGTGGTTATTGTTCATGCTACAGTAACTTCCGAAAATACATATAAATTCATAAAAATTAACCTTTCATCTCTATAAAAATTTCCAAAATTTATTCAACAAATAATTTGAACATTTTCAAATTACATGCCACTATCTAAAATCAAATTCCATCGTAGGATGTCTTACTGATATTGAAATATACCTCTCGATGCTTGATGTCACTTTGAACTCTTTAATCTACTACTGACTTTTTACTTACGTGTGAAAATCATCACACGCTAAGTATATACTTAGTGAGGCAATTAAAACATTTAACAGTGCAATACAATTCATACATGATTTTCAATGTCAAAAATCAAATTTCCATAAAATCATTTTACTAACATATCCAATATTTTACCATGATCAAAATAATATAAAATCTTTTATCACATAAGCTCGTAAGTTTATTTTACCAAAATAATTATCATTTAAATTCCATAAGCTCATAAGCTTATTTTATACAAAATACTTACCATTTAATCTTATAAGCTCGTAAGCTTATTTTACCCATATACTTGCCATTATTCCAAAAGCCTGTAAGCTTATTTGTATGCTTACCATTTATTAAGCAATAAACCATAGCCTATGTAACACCCCCAACCCGTATCCGACCCGGGTACGAGTCCGAAGTGTCACATTGACTTTTCAAACCTTGACTCTTAAGAAAAATCCCGGGAAATTTAAAACTTTATTTAAACAAAATACAGACTTATCAGAGTGCTCGTACTTAATGACTTATTACATGCCAACACTTTATACATAAACAAATACATACTTTGTCAAACATTTCTGATCTGATCTTTTGGTAAGGAAACTGACCTGTCTTGCTCCGCATCACTCTTTACTCTTCTCGAAACCTACGCGTGAAACAATCACACGCTAAGTCGAAGACTTAGTGAGGCATAACGACTTATAATACACTTTCAAACATATATCGATACATGCATGTTCTTTTCTATCATGTTATAGCAATTCCATGCATTCTTCGTATCATATAAAATCATATCAGATTAATTACAGTAAATACATACAGACACATAATTCATCATATGGTTCACGTAACACATTTCAAACCACTTATAAACCCATCGTATACATATCACATTCAGTATGCTTGTTTAATTACTTTATTAGCCCATGTACACTAGTGAGAACTTAAGGTATGTGAGTACATTGAGGTTGTGCACACATATGCTGTCACTACAGCTCGATCAATGTCCCAAAGGACCAGTCCATAGATTCCGAAGAACCTAGGTAATCAGTCCATATGTCCCGAAGGACATAGGTAAACAGTCCGTATGTTCCGAAGAACATAGGTAAACAGTCCGTATGTTCCGAAGAACATAGGTAAACAGTCCATATGTCCCGAAGAACATAGGTAAACCCTCGACCCTTGGCATGCCAACTATACCCCTAGCTCTCATATCACATAACATGGGCATTATCCTTTATAACAGTTCACATTACTTATTCATATTCTTTCTCTTATAACCACATATCTTTTCTTTTCTGTCACATACCACAAGTATGTGTAAACATATATCTAATATCATATGTTGCATGTAATCACGTAGATCTTATCTCATAACATATATTTGTTTTCACATATATATTTCATATCACATGCCATATAAGCTCATAGCTTCTTTCACATATACATGTAGTCACATAGCTTCTTTTCATATTCTCATAGGATCACATAGTTCATATCTTATACTTTGTTTTCTCATGTTCACATATATCATGTCATATGGCTCATATCTTTCTCATGCAGTCACACAGTTCAGTTTCACATATGTTCATATATATACATTACATAGTACATACTTCTCATAACATTACATTCAAAAGCATGTTAACACATATAATCATGCATACATATAATTCATGTCATTCATATACGTATAATCATATATTCATGCATTCTAACAGAGGAAATAGACTTGTCGCAAGTCTTGTTTCCATTTAGCACCATAAACTAATTAATGCACTCACCTGGCCTCACTAGTCCATTCCAATCTCTTATCTTCCCTTTTTATCGATCTTACTTGTCAATGATTCCGGAACTCGTTTAGGCTCTGAATCTACATAAATGTACATTTTGAGGCAATCATTAGATACCTACACCTTGTAATTGGATACTAGCAACTTAAACGAACTTATTAAACCCATATTCACAATTTTCCTTTAGGGGGAATCGGTTCCCCCCTATGGGGTATCGATTCCCTCCAGACATTCTGGAATTCTGTCGTTTGAAGGGGTATCGGTTCCCCTTGAATGGGTACCGATTCCCCTTGCCCAGAAATCATATTTTCAACCCGAAAATTACTTCATTTTCCCTCAAACACTTCATATATCATCTCCTTTCCATTCTTAACTCTAGTACACATACTTAAACCAATCTATATTCATTTATTTCATCTTAAACCTCAAAATCCTATCTTCCATATGTAATTCAAAAATCATATCAAATTTCTATATGTTCAAAATCAAATTCTATCACTCCAAATCTCTTAATCTAACCATTGACAAGTCAAATTTAACTTCAAATTCTACTTATCAATTCTTTTCCAAAGTTTCATATAAAATCTCCAAATCTTTAATCTCTCTTAACCCCTCCATCATTTGTTTTTAAGATGATTTAAGCTTTCCTTAAGCTTAGTTATCATCTAATAATCAAAACATAACCTTAAAATCAACAATTCATTTACAAACAAAGAAACTTACCTTTGGCTTGCTCTCCCCACGTATGAAGAAGAAGAAAGGAGAAGAGCACTCTGGAGAGTTCTCTCCCTTTTCACGTGTATATCATTCCTTGAATGATCAAATGACCATTTAACCCTTAATTTCCTTTAATAATTACTAAATAACCTTCAATATATATACAAATAATCATTGAATTATTTCATTCTTCTACTTTAGTCATCAAATTCTGAAACTTTACAATTTGATCACTAACCCGGTATTGAGGATGTTACAAATCTCCCCTCCTTATAAGAAAATTCGTCCTCGAATTTTCACTGCACATCTTAATAGGAACATATCTTCTAATGTTCTTATGTTGCTTCCCCTGACTTATTCTTTCTTGTCATCATCAGAAATTTACTTTTTAATCCTTTAGTTTTTCGACTATATTTTTCGTTTATACCTTCATCTTCTGTCGTATATCATATAAACAATAACCAATAATACCAATCCATTGTTGTCTTTTCTCTCATTCTATTATGCATTTTTCCTTTGACCTTTCTAAAATTTCATATAATGTCACTCATCACGTTGACAGTAACATTCATCTCATTACTCTATATCAAAACTGTCCTCTGTACTTCCATATTTATCGTATCTGATCCTTTAAATCAATCCCTTTCATTTCTTTATTCCTTCTTCCTTATACATAAATCATATATTTCCTTTCATATTCACACTCTTGTCTTATCACTTATACTCATCTTTATGTACCAATCTTCATTGCATCCTCATTACTCTAATAACCAATTTCTTATACATAACTTCATTCTTTATCATTTCTTATACTTGTATTTTCCTTCCTGAAAGTTCCATGCAAATACTTATCTCTGTTTCTACATCATAGCTATCTGCTCAGAATATAAATTATATTCAAATTCATATCATAATCAATTAACTCCACTATATCTTTCCTCCAATCTTATAACTCTAGCACCTTTACTCTGACAGCTAGATAATAACTTTGGTTCAGTCTAGGGCACAAGCCCTCTTATACCAATCATATACATTCTTTCCAATCTAAATTATCTTAACATTCGCTTACTCAACTTATCAATTTCACCTCTATTCTCATACATCCTGAAATTTCTTTTACTCAAACTCAACATTCTGACTTCCTGTGGCCTATAATCTGATCATCGATATACATATTCTCAAACTCTCTTATCAATCCTCAGCTTTACTTAAATATACAAATTCTTACTTCCTTTTCCTTTACTATACCACATTACTATGATCCAAATATGCAACTGTATCCAGATCCATTACGGATTTGGTTCTCATATCCTGACAATATCTTATAATCTTATAATTCCAGTACATTTTTATCACATACTCTAGTTAGCCCATACTAACTCTTTTCATCTTAACTGCAAACCCTTATCATAAACATACTCTTGTTATGCGCAATACTATCACTTCGTTTCAAATTCATAAACTCTGACTTTATACATCTTATACACTTGTCACTGATGCACTTATCCTTAAGTTCTTCTATACGTACTCATCACGTCCTTAGATCTTTTTAACATTCTTATGGTGACACCCGTTCACCTATTCTATCTTATCCACATAATAACTCTATATCGTTTTTCCGATTTCAAACGATGAAAACTTTCTATCATTATTCAGATATGATTTCAGCTTTCTGAAATCAACTTTGATCTTACTAGGCATTTCCTGAGGTGTCCGCTCTTCATCCTGCCTGGCCAGGGCAAGTGAATAGCTATCACAATCAGGAATATCACCTTTCACTTACTTTGAAATTATCACGATCGGATTTCTACTGTATTAAACTATTCTTATTCTATTAGCAAGACAATATTCCTTACACTATCAGATCAGAAATTTTCAATCTATGTTGGCATGTACACCTTTTATGACACTTTGGACTTCGGTTTATGCCGAGAATCGGCTAAACCTTAGCTCTGATACCATTAAATGTAACACCCCAACCCGTATCCGACCGGGTACGAGTCCGAAGTGTCACATTGACTTTTCAAACCTTGACTCTTAAGAAAAATCCCGGGAAATTTAAAACTTTATTTAAAACAAAATACAGACTTTATCAGAGTGCTCGTACTTAATGACTTATTACATGCCAACACTTTATACATAAACAAATACATACTTTGTCAAACATTTCTGATCTGATCTTTTGGTAAGGAAACTGACCTGTCTTGCTCCGCATCACTCTTTACTCTTCTCGAAACCTACGCGTGAAACAATCACACGCTAAGTCGAAGACTTAGTGAGGCATAACGACTTATAATACACTTTCAAACATATATCGATACATGCATGTTCTTTTCTATCATGTTATAGCAATTCCATGCATTCTTCGTATCATATAAATCATATCAGATTAATTACAGTAAATACATACAGACACATAATTCATCATATGGTTCACGTAACACATTTCAAACCACTTATAAACCCATCGTATACATATCACATTCAGTATGCTTGTTTAATTACTTTATTAGCCATGTACACTAGTGAGAACTTAAGGTATGTGAGTACATTGAGGTTGTGCACACATATGCTGTCACTACAGCTCGATCAATGTCCCAAAGGACCAGTCCATAGATTCCGAAGAACCTAGGTAATCAGTCCATATGTCCCGAAGGACATAGGTAAACAGTCCGTATGTTCCGAAGAACATAGGTAAACAGTCCGTATGTTCCGAAGAACATAGGTAAACAGTCCATATGTCCCGAAGAACATAGGTAAACCCTCGACCCTTGGCATGCCAACTATACCCCTAGCTCTCATATCACATAACATGGGCATTATCCTTTATAACAGTTCACATTACTTATTCATATTCTTTCTCTTATAACCACATATCTTTTCTTTTCTGTCACATACCACAAGTATGTGTAAACATATATCTAATATCATATGTTGCATGTAATCACGTAGATCTTATCTCATAACATATATTTGTTTTCACATATATATTTCATATCACATGCCATATAAGCTCATAGCTTCTTTCACATATACATGTAGTCACATAGCTTCTTTCATATTCTCATAGGATCACATAGTTCATATCTTATACTTTGTTTTCTCATGTTCACATATCATGTCATATGGCTCATATCTTTCTCATGCAGTCACACAGTTCAGTTTCACATATGTTCATATATACATTACATAGTACATACTTCTCATAACATTACATTCAAAAGCATGTTAACACATATAATCATGCATACATATAATCATGTCATTCATATACGTATAATCATATATTCATGCATTCTAACAGAGGAAATAGACTTGTCGCAAGTCTGTTTCCATTTAGCACCATAAACTAATTAATATGCACTCACCTGGCCTCACTAGTCCATTCCAATCTCTTATCTTCCCTTTTTATCGATCTTACTTGTCAATGATTCCGGAACTCGTTTAGGCTCTGAATCTACATAAATGTACATTTTGAGGCAATCATTAGATACCTACACCTTGTAATTGGATACTAGCAACTTAAACGAACTTATTAAACCCATATTCACAATTTTCCTTTAGGGGGAATCGGTTCCCCCCCTATGGGGTATCGATTCCCTCCAGACATTCTGGAATTCTGTCGTTTGAAGGGGTATCGGTTCCCCTTGAATGGGTACCGATTCCCCTTGCCCAGAAATCATATTTTCAACCCGAAAATTACTTCATTTTCCCTCAAACACTTCATATATCATCTCCTTTCCATTCTTAACTCTAGTACACATACTTAAACCAATCATATTCATTTATTTCATCTTAAACCTCAAAATCCTATCTTCCATATGTAATTCAAAAATCATATCAAATTTCTATATGTTCAAAATCAAATTCTATCACTCCAAATCTCTTAATCTAACCATTGACAAGTCAAATTTAACTTCAAATTCTACTTATCAATTCTTTCCAAAGTTTCATATAAAATCTCCAAATCTTTAATCTCTCTTAACCCCTCATCATTTGTTTTAAGATGATTTAAGCTTTCCTTAAGCTTAGTTATCATCTAATAATCAAAACATAACCTTAAAATCAACAATTCATTTACAAACAAAGAAACTTACCTTTGGCTTGCTCTCCCACGTATGAAGAAGAAGAAAGGAGAAGAGCACTCTGGAGAGTTCTCTCCCTTTTCACGTGTATATCATTCCTTGAATGATCAAATGACCATTTAACCCTTAATTTCCTTTAATAATTACTAAATAACCTTCAATATATACAAATAATCATTGAATTATTTCATTCTTCTACTTTAGTCATCAAATTCTGAAACTTTACAATTTGATCACTAACCCGGTATTGAGGATGTTACAAATCTCCCCTCCTTATAAGAAAATTCGTCCTCGAATTTTACTGCACATCTTAATAGGACATATCTTCTAATGTTCTTATGTTGCTTCCCTGACTTATTCTTCTTGTCATCATCAGAAATTTACTTTTAATCCTTTAGTTTTTCGACTATTTTTCGTTTATACCTTCATCTTCTGTCGTATCATATAAACAATAACCAATAATACCAATCCATTGTGTCTTTTCTCTCATTCTATTATGCATTTTTCCTTTGACCTTTCTAAAATTTCATATAATGTCATCATCACGTTGACAGTAACATTCATCTCATTACTCTATATCAAAACTGTCCTCTGTACTTCCATATTTATCGTATCTGATCCTTTAAATCAATCCCTTTCATTTCTTTATTCCTTCTCCTTATACATAATCATATATTCCTTTCATATCACACTCTTGTCTTATCACTTATACTCATCTTTATGTACCAATCTTCATTGCATCCTCATTACTCTAATAACCCATTTCTTATACATAACTTCATTCTTTATCATTTCTTATACTTGTATTTTCCTTCTGAAAGTTCCATGCAAATACTTATCTCTGTTTCTACATCATAGCTATCTGCTCAGAATATAAATTATATTCAAATTATCATAATCAATTAACTCCACTATATCTTTCCTCCAATCTTATAACTCTAGCACCTTTACTCTGACAGCTAGATAATAACTTTGGTTCAGTCTAGGGCACAAGCCCTCTTATACCAATCATATACATTCTTTCCAATCTAAATTATCTTAACATTCGCTTACTCAACTTATCAATTTCACCTCTATTCTCATACATCCTGAAATTTCTTTTACTCAAACTCAACATTCTGACTTCCTGTGGCCTATAATCTGATCATCGATATACATATTCTCAAACTCTTCTTATCAATCCTCAGCTTTACTTAAATATACAAATTCTTACTTCCTTTTCCTTTACTATACACATTACTATGATCCAAATATGCAACTGTATCCAGATCCATTACGGATTTGGTTCTCATATCCTGACAATATCTTATAATCTTATAATTCCAGTACATTTTATCACATACTCTAGTTAGCCCATACTAACTCTTTTCATCTTAACTGCAAACCCTTATCATAAACATACTCTTGTTTATGCGCAATACTATCACTTCGTTTCAAATTCATAAACTCTGACTTTATACATCTATACACTTGTCACTGATGCACTTATCCTTAAGTTCTTCTATACGTACTCATCACGTCCTTAGATCTTTTAACATTCTTATGGTGACACCCGTTCACCATATTCTATCTTATCCACATAATAACTCTATATCGTTTTCCGATTTCAAACGATGAAAACTTTCTATCATTATTCAGATATGATTTCAGCTTTCTGAAATCAACTTTTGATCTTACTAGGCATTTCCTGAGGTGTCCGCTCTTCATCCCTGGCCAGGGCAAGTGAATAGCTATCACAATCAGGAATATCACCTTTCACTTACTTTGAAATTATCACGATCGGATTTCTACTGTATTAAACTATTCTTATTCTATTAGCAAGACAACATATTCCTTACACTATCAGATCAGAAATTTTTCAATCTATGTTGGCATGTACACCTTTTATGACACTTTGGACTTCGGTTTATGCCGAGAATCGGCTAAACCTTAGCTCTGATACCATTAAATGTAACACCCCCAACCCGTATCCGACCCGGGTACGAGTCCGAAGTGTCACATTGACTTTTCAAACCTTGACTCTTAAGAAAAATCCCGGGAAATTTAAAACTTTATTTAAAACAAATACAGACTTTATCAGAGTGCTCGTACTTAATGACTTATTACATGCCAACACTTTATACATAAACAAATACATACTTTGTCAAACATTTCTGATCTGATCTTTTGGTAAGGAAACTGACCTGTCTTGCTCCGCATCACTCTTTACTCTTCTCGAAACCTACGCGTGAAACAATCACACGCTAAGTCGAAGACTTAGTGAGGCATAACGACTTATAATACACTTTCAAACATATATCGATACATGCATGTTCTTTTCTATCATGTTATAGCAATTCCATGCATTCTTCGTATCATAAAATCATATCAGATTAATTACAGTAAATACATACAGACACATAATTCATCATATGGTTCACGTAACACATTTCAAACCACTTATAAACCCATCGTATACATATCACATTCAGTATGCTTGTTTAATTACTTTATTAGCCCATGTACACTAGTGAGAACTTAAGGTATGTGAGTACATTGAGGTTGTGCACACATATGCTGTCACTACAGCTCGATCAATGTCCCAAAGGACCAGTCCATAGATTCCGAAGAACCTAGGTAATCAGTCCATATGTCCCGAAGGACATAGGTAAACAGTCCGTATGTTCCGAAGAACATAGGTAAACAGTCCGTATGTTCCGAAGAACATAGGTAAACAGTCCATATGTCCCGAAGAACATAGGTAAACCCTCGACCCTTGGCATGCCAACTATACCCCTAGCTCTCATATCACATAACATGGGCATTATCCTTTATAACAGTTCACATTACTTATTCATATTCTTTCTCTTATAACCACATATCTTTTCTTTTCTGTCACATACCACAAGTATGTGTAAACATATATCTAATATCATATGTTGCATGTAATCACGTAGATCTTATCTCATAACATATATTTGTTTTCACATATATATTTCATATCACATGCCATATAAGCTCATAGCTTCTTTCACATATACATGTAGTCACATAGCTTTTCATATTCTCATAGGATCACATAGTTCATATCTTATACTTTGTTTTCTCATGTTCACATATATCATGTCATATGGCTCATATCTTTCTCATGCAGTCACACAGTTCAGTTTCACATATGTTCATATATATACATTACATAGTACATACTTCTCATAACATTACATTCAAAAGCATGTTAACACATATAATCATGCATACATATAATTCATGTCATTCATATACGTATAATCATATATTCATGCATTCTAACAGAGGAAATAGACTTGTCGCAAGTCTTGTTTCCATTTAGCACCATAAACTAATTAATATGCACTCACCTGGCCTCACTAGTCCATTCCAATCTCTTATCTTCCCTTTTTATCGATCTTACTTGTCAATGATTCCGGAACTCGTTTAGGCTCTGAATCTACATAAATGTACATTTTGAGGCAATCATTAGATACCTACACCTTGTAATTGGATACTAGCAACTTAAACGAACTTATTAAACCCATATTCACAATTTTCCTTTAGGGGGAATCGGTTCCCCCCCTATGGGGTATCGATTCCCTCCAGACATTCTGGAATTCTGTCGTTTGAAGGGGTATCGGTTCCCCTTGAATGGGTACCGATTCCCCTTGCCCAGAAATCATATTTTCAACCCGAAAATTACTTCATTTTCCCTCAAACACTTCATATATCATCTCCTTTCCATTCTTAACTCTAGTACACATACTTAAACCAATCTATATTCATTTATTTCATCTTAAACCTCAAAATCCTATCTTCCATATGTAATTCAAAAATCATATCAAATTTTCTATATGTTCAAAATCAAATTCTATCACTCCAAATCTCTTAATCTAACCATTGACAAGTCAAATTTAACTTCAAATTCTACTTATCAATTCTTTTCCAAAGTTTCATATAAAATCTCCAAATCTTTAATCTCTCTTAACCCCTCCATCATTTGTTTTTAAGATGATTTAAGCTTTCCTTAAGCTTAGTTATCATCTAATAATCAAAACATAACCTTAAAATCAACAATTCATTTACAAACAAAGAAACTTACCTTTGGCTTGCTCTCCCACGTATGAAGAAGAAGAAAGGAGAAGAGCACTCTGGAGAGTTCTCTCCCTTTTCACGTGTATATCATTCCTTGAATGATCAAATGACCATTTAACCCTTAATTTCCTTTAATAATTACTAAATAACCTTCAATATATATACAAATAATCATTGAATTATTTCATTCTTCTACTTTAGTCATCAAATTCTGAAACTTTACAATTTGATCACTAACCCGGTATTGAGGATGTTACAGCCTATAGCCCAATATACAACCCTGAGGATCCTGGGTATTCGAGTACTATTTGCACCGTAGTGCTATACATAAAGTCGTGCCCACCATATATACTGAAGTGTATTACACATAAGGTCGTGTCCACCATATACACCGAAGTGTATTATAAACATGCAGCTGCTATACTCTATGGCATGCCAACTATACCCTGCCCTCAATGACTTACTTGGGCATATAGTCTATTTTATTCAATCCATCCATGGCAAAGTATATTATCAATATTAACATTGGACAGTTCATACCCGAAAACCTTCATGGTAAATATCATTTTTCATAATCAATGCATTTTGATCTCATACCGTGACATTTCAATGTCATGTCAAAGTTAAAAAAATGACATATAACATGCTGATATAAACAATGTCGACTTATCGCAAGTCTTCCTGATGATGTATAAAACATCCATGTATAATTTCATGCATGTATTGCACCCACCTTGACTTTATGTCTTTCAAATATATGAGCCTCACTATTGTCCACCATAAGCCCTTTTATATATGATTTGCTTCGATTACAAATCAATCCCAATCTGTATAAATCATCAATTCATAATGATACATATGTTAGTATTGTACTAACAAATATATCCCATAATAACTTCATAATATATTTGAAACTCATTATCTATCAAAATACGTATCTCTTAATAATTCCTTTAACATTGGAATCAACTTTTCCAATTTACACAAAATGGTCCTTCACCATTTCATCACTTAGAATTTCAATACAAAAATTCCAGTATTGAAATTATTATCACCAAGTACACAAAGGCATAATTACAATAACACTCCCAAAATTCGAAATTTGAATTACAATCACCAAACTTTCTAAAATTTTCATATTCTGACAACTTGCACTACCTTTAAAGAATCAGTATTCTTTACTGATATACACACTGGAATTTAATTACGTTTATTTTTGAACACTAGACTCGAATACAAATCTATCCATATAAAGATCTCCTTCTAATTCGTTCTGTACAATTTATGGTGAATTTTCAAAGTTGATCAACAGAATCTGTTTTGCAGAATCTGCTGTCCGAATTTTCTGACCTTTCCTCGGTTAAAAATTCACATCTCTTTGTATACACCTTGAAATTGATCCCCGATTATTTTAAACATAACTAGATCAATATATGAACATAATATTTAAAAATAACCTCCAAATTATTTATATAATTCCTGGTGAATTCCAAACCTACTGCCAGATTCAAAATCCAAAATGTTTTCTTTAACTTCATTCTTAGGTTCTTCATCAATTCTTACAACCAATTCTTTAAAATCACTTAACTCTTCAAAACCCATAAAACACAAGAAATCAACCATTTAACATCTCTACAATCAAATCCTTAATTAACTGTAACACCCTCAACCCGTACCGAATACGAGTATGAGATGTCACATTGACTTTTCAAACTTTGACTCTTGACAAAATTCAAAGAAAATTTAAAGCTTTCAAAATCAAAGCGGTTTAATTACATAAATTGACCACAATAACCACAATCGATCAGAGCATAGTTAACTCAATCAATTAGTACATGCCAACTGTATTCAAAATAACCAAACACATTTAAATCATCTATTTTCTTATCTGAAATTTTGTAAGGGAGATGTTGACCTGTCTTGCTCTTCTTCGCTTCTCTTCTAGCTTCTGTAACCTACGTGTGAAACAATCACACGCTAAGTCTATGACTTAGTGAGGCATAACAAACTGACTATAACATATCATAACTAATTCCTACTATGCACATTTCATGTAATCATGATAACCCATAAATGCATCAAAGCATAAATATATAATATATAGATATCAAGTACATACATATTGCTTCACAAAGAAATACCCATATCATATAATTCAAGTATATATTTCCTAACCCAAAACATATAAGAGTATGTTCTTGTACCTATTCTTCTTAACTAAGCTATATACACATCACCATCATATCACCTATATCGTTTCACCATAAAGATTACAAACAGGCACATAATCATACAAGGTTCTTTTTATCATCTTCTTTATTAGCCCATGTACACATGTGAGAACTATAGATATATGAGTCTATAGAGGTTGTGCACTAATGATGTCACCACAGCTCGTATAAATGCACCGGAGTGCCACGTAGAATTGCACCGAAGTGCCGCGTAGAAATGCACCGTAGTGCCATATAAGATGTCCCTAAGGACCACATAGAAAATTCCTTAAGAATCATATACATATGCCAAAGGACCAAATATGTGTCTCAAAAGACTCATACATGCTCCGAGAATACATATATGTCCCGAAGGACCGTGTAGACCCTCGACTCTTGGCATGTCAACTATACCCCTAGCTCTCATGACATATCATGGGCATTATCTTTTATCTTCTCTTTTTTTTCCATATTAATGTAAACATATCACATATTCATATAAACTCGTACCTTCATTACATATACATGTAATCACGTAGTTCATGTAAATTCTCATATCATTTTGTATTCATATATCTATAGCATATAACATTTCTCATGTGTTCCTATAACATGTCATACATATCAGGCATGTTTACACAACTCATTTCTATTAACTTACATGAATCTATATTCTTTTTCATATACTCATATACTCATAATAAATATTTCATATAACCTCATATATCACATCACATAGATACATACTCCAGTACTCATAGTTACCTATCACTTAAATTATTCATATTACATAATTCATGGTCATATAACTTCTATCACCAAGTTTTTATCTCTTATTCTCATATGTTCATATTTATCATAACACATAAGATTTATTGCATATTTATATCGCATTCCTACATCACTAATTCATAATATAA